CATGAAGAAGATCAGCCGTTGACGGCATTTATGCATAACGGGATTCAATATATGTTCAAGAAGGCTCCTTTTGGATTGAAGCCCTTGTCCAGTTTGTTTCAGCGTGGCATGAGCCGAATCCTTGGGGATTTGAAATTTGTCAGAAATTTTATCGATGACATTCTTCTCGCATCAAAGAACAGAAGCGATCATGCGATTCAGATGATAGAGTTGGTTAAACGGCTAACTGATGCCAAGCTTATTATTAACCTTGACAAGTGCAAGTTCTACAGTACGCAGGTGGCGTTGCTGGGCTTCATTGTGGATCTTGATGGAAAAAGAATTGATCCCAATAAATTGGTGAATATCAATGATTGGAAACCCCCAACTACGGGTAAGCAGGTTCAATCTTATATGGGGACTTTTAATTTTTTCCGCGATCACGTACCCATTATAGCTACCATTAGCGCTCCGCTAGATGCTATGCGTAATGTGGTGGGTCCATTTACGTTGAATGCTGCTCAGTTGAAGAGCTTTGAGGCACTAAAGAATTTGTTGGTCTTATCGCCCATAATTTGCTGGGTGGATTTCAATTTGCCGTTATATGTTGCTACAGATGCATCTAACGTTGGAATTGGAGCAATTTTATATCAGCTGCCGGAAGGCGAGGCGAATCCCAAAAACATTAGATATATTTCTTTTGTTGCGCGCTCATTGCAACCCAGTGAACGACGCTATAGTACAACTCAGAAGGAGTTATTGGCAATTGTGTTTGCACTGAAGAAGTTGCATTACTATTTGTGGGGCCGTCACTTTACGCTTTTCACGGATCATCGCGCTCTTACTTTTATGCATACGCAGAAGGATATGAACTCGATGCTTACCGCATGGCAGGAGACTATTTTGGATTACACGTTTAAGGTTGTTTATCGACCTGGCGTTCTGAACGTTTTACCAGACGCTTTGTCTCGCCAGTTTCCTCAAGAGTTGTGGACAGCCCGCATTCAAGGATCTGCTCCGAGCAAAATTTATGGTTATGTTCACTCAATCCAGGACGCCGACACTCAACGTGTGACGGTAGCTGTCTCAGAGAGAAGAGGAGTGTTAGTCGACGCACATGCGCTTGGTCACATTGGGACCAATGCCATGGTCAAGCATATTCATTCGTTGCAAAAGACGTGGCCTAATCTGGCCAAGGATTGCTTGGAGTATGTTCAGCGTTGCCAAGAATGCCAGCGAGTCAACATCGCACGCAAGGGATACCACCCTCTGACGGCCATTCATGCTCAGTTACCAGGTGAACATATGGCGGTTGATTTGACCGGTCCATTCCCTGTGGAGAGCGATGGAAACCTATTCCTACTCATTTTGGTTGATGTTTGTACAAGGTTCGTCTTCTTGGAACCCATACCTGACAAGAAGGGGATGACCATTGCAAAAGTTTTGTTCAAAATCTTCACCACTATTGGTTTTCCACGTATCCTCCAATCTGACAATGGCAGAGAATTCGTTAACGAGGCGGTGCAAGTGATGACTACCACTATGGGAGTGCAACATAGGTTACTCACCCCTTATCACCCTCGCGGAAACGGAGTCGCCGAAAATCATGTGAAAACAGCATGCACTATCATTCGCAAAGAGGTTCAAGACCATAAACAAGCATGGGCGAAACATGTTCCTATGGCACAGCTAGCTATGAACACCAGAATTGTGGCTCTACACAATTCGTCCCCATTTTCTTTGTTTTTTGCGCGGCGTTATAATGGTATTAGCAATTTTTCGGACACGACAGAGAAGTTATCATCCCAGGAGGAGCTCTTAAAGCGGCTTGAGTACATGACCAAGACCGTCTTTCCAGCGATTGACACTAAGACCCGTGAAACTCAACGTCGAATGATTGAGCGTTTCAATAGAACAGTACTGCACAGTGAATTCCCTGATGGAGCAAAGGTTATGTCTTTGGACCCGATCTTGGGCGACAAGCTTTCGCCTAGGTATGAAGGCCCTTATATTGTAGTCAGACGAACAACTGGTGGATCCTATGTGTTGAAGGATGCCACAGGAGAAGAGTTAGGTCGTAAATTTGCGCCGTCGCAGCTAAAGCTTGTGCTCGACGATTTTGAAGCAACTGACACATACGTAGTAGAAAAAGTTCTCAACCACAGGCATGGACCTAGGGGGGGGATGGAATACCGCGTAAAATGGAAAGGGTACAAAGAGGAAACCTGGGAGCCTCAAGAGAATTTTATTGAGAGAAAGTGTATCACAGACTACTGGAAGACTAAAAACCTACCAGGATCGCAATCTCTAACGCAGCCTCGTCAAACGGCCGCGACTCTCGGGACTAAGGGTCAAGAGCAGGAGCTCAATCCATCGCAACGTAAAGGTGCTACTAAAACATCAAAGAACATATCCAATGGTGATGCTCTTAATAAGGGTACATGCAAGCGTGCAAACCCCGACGAAGAAGAAGATCAATTGGTCGATCGACGCAGGTCTAAACGACTGCGAAGAAATAATGCTAATGGCGAGAAGATGAGTATTGAGCTTAGGACGATTCGCGGGCGTGTGCCTGATCGTCATTAGCATGCATCATCAGTGCATCCGATGAATAATGCAGTAGGGGTTTTTCCGCTTCCCCTACAATCACGTTCGAGGTTTTCCCTCTTGGGTTTTCCCCTCGCAAGGATTTTTAAACGATTTTTTGCCTTGAGTGAACAATTAATGTCATGTGAGGATTGTTGATCCTCAACCTGTCTGCAAGGTTTTTATTCAGATTTTTTCCTGGCAGAACAGTAAAATAATGCACAGAGTCCAAGTGATTCTTAGACACAAACGAGCAGAGCATATATGCGTTTTTAAGCAGACGGCTTTCAGCCTTTCCCATGGGAGGGGATTGTCGCATATTTGCCTGTCTCGGGGGTGTCAGCTAATGTAATTAGGCTAGAGACAGTAATTTAGTCATATGACCAGACACCGACATAAATGGAGGTGTCTGGGCTGTTAACAAAGATCCCTCTCTTGTCTTATCAATTCGATTGTGCGTGACTAGCGTAAAAATTTTCACATACAGCTTGGCTTCGCGAAGGATTCGAGTATCCGACGACAGAGAACGACGTTGAGCAACCAATGGGATATGTTGATGTTGGTGCGCTAGTGGAGGATGGAAATACAATGGCACAACTCCAGAACAAATTTCTTGGTATTAATCTTCATGGTGATGTTGATGTTAATGTTGATGAGGACACACCAATGGATCAAGCAGTAATAATGCAACCCGGTCTTTCCATTGAGCTTAGAGGTACGAAGCGACAAATGGATGTTAATGGTAATCTGTAGACTTATTGCAGGTTTTTAAAAGAATAGTCATACATAGCCTATTTAGTCAGCGTTGAGATACGGTATTAACTGCCTAGACGCTAATATGCACCGGTATCTATTATTAAAAGTCATGGTATTATTGTAGTAGATCGGATGCTATTCTATGCTATTCTACAACATTCCTTTTTATTTAACAAAGAGGATAAACACATGTACAAACCTACGTCATAAAAGAATACATAAACACATGTACAAACCTACGTCATAAAAGAATACTACATTCTTAACCATTTTTAAACCCCGTCTTTAACGCCAAGCAGTCTTAATAAGCAAGATCTACGTCATACGAGGAACACTACGTTATTAACCACTTAGATGCCTTTTTAAAACTCTTTTGTTACTAAGCGCCAAGCAGTGTTAATAAGCAAGCGCTATTAATATCCAATGTGGCAGTGTCCCATGAATTAGTATAAATAAAGGACTCCACTTCCCTCTTGCTTAATCTTTATCTTATCTAGTAACCAACCAACCATTATCCATATCTATACAACCATCCATACCTATACAACCATCTTTTATTGCAATTCTTTATATCAGTGTACTAAGCAGCTGCAATCTACCACACATAAACTGAAAAGTCATTCACACCCACCATACCACAAGTACAATCTATATCGTTCATATCCAAAAACATGCAGTACGTTCAGCTTACAATCGAGCTCATCACCAAGGCCTTCGAGACATTTTCTTCTAAGAAGGGAGTGGAGTTTACCAAGAAAGATGCAAATAAGATCTTTAAGGCGCTTGATGGGGATAAGGAAGTGGAGAGATACTACTTTTGTGGAGCAAAGTGCGTCAAGTCCAAGCGTAAATGCATGAAGGAAGTTGACGATGAAGGCATGCATTGTTATGTCCACGATCCTGCGCGCAAGTGTCAAAGCACAACCATTAAGGGCGCTAATTGTGGTAGTGTAGCCAAAATTGGTCAAACATACTGTGGGCGTCATCAAGATCAAGATAGAGGTCATATAAAACGTGGTAACAAGAATGCACCTGTCGTTACGCGTCCCAAGTCTTCCAAGGCTTTAAAGAAGACACATACTTCTAAGTTTGTATCATCTGATGACGATATGACTTCCGAGGATGAAGAGCCGTCCGACGATGATGATGAAGAAGATAAAATTGCCGTCTCCTTTCCGTTGAGTCCAAAGGTAGTTGACATAACGTCCAAGAAAAATGTACCACTCGCTAATACAGGCATATGGATGCGTTATGCAACTAATCCAGCTTTTCTGTATGCAAAGAACTTTACTGTAAATGGCAAGTACATTATTAAGCTGAAGGAAAAGGATCTCTACATTGTATTGTGTCCACCTGAGCTCATGGGCAAAAATCTTCCTGTACCGGAAATATCTGAAAAAGAGGCACGTATATTACAAAAGATGGGACTCCAAGAGGCAACTCCTGCAGATGTAGAAAAAATAGAAGAGTCTTCTGCTGATGATAAGAAGAAGACTCTTCGAAAGAAAAGGCCTTCAAAGATGCCCAAAAATGCAGAGCCATCTTCTAATGTAGACGTTTCTAAGGATGGAAAAGATGAACATACATTTGCACTGGCCACAACGGTGCATAACATTAGATCAGAGAAAGACATAGCACGTGCGAAGGACAGAGGATGGATGATTCATCCTAATAACGACATGCTTGAGTATGCAACTAAGTTTACGATGAATGGCAAGTACATTGTCAGGCTATCTGGAAAGAATACATACGTTGGCCTGTTTACGCTTGATGCTCTGCGCGGTGTCGGTGATGTTCCAGAGTTGGATATCTTGGAACGCTCCATGCTTAGCAAGATGAAACTTCAACCATTGTCTGATGAAGAGAGAAAGACGCTTTTCAACGAGGAGATCGAAGTAGAAGAAGAAGTACCAGTAGAAGGACCAACAGATAAATCCAAGGTGATATGGAAAAAACTTAACAAGTACTTGGAATATTCCGAGAATGTACTTGTAAATGGAATGCACATTCTCAAGATGCGCAAAAAAGACACTGTAATCGGCTTGATGACTGATGACCATATTGCTGCAGAGAATGTAGAGTGTCATTCTCTTAGCCAGAAGGAAAAAGAGAAGTTGTTTGCTATGGGATTTAAACCGCATGAGCATAAGCAAAGCTTGCCACAGAAAGATGAGAGCACATGTGAGGATGATAAAGATGCTGAGGGCGATAAAGATGCTGAGGATGACAAAGATGCGGTGGGTGATAAAGATGCTGAAGATGACAAAGATGCTGAGGGTGATAACGATGCTGAGGATGACAAAGATGCTGAGGGTGATAACGATGCTGAAGATGATAAAGATGCTGAGGATGATAAAGATGCTGAGGATGTTATGTGGAAAAGGTACCCTAAAGATAAAAGCTCCTCGGGTATAATCGTCATAGATAAAGACGAAATTAAATGGACAACATGTTCGTTTGACAAGAAGCATGAATATGCAACCAACTACCTTTTCGACGGATGTCATCTGCTCAAGAGGTACGAAGAGGACATTATTGTTGGACTGCTGTATAAGATACCTGCAAACGGTGACAGTAACTATAGTCGAGACAAATTTACCAACAACAAACAAAAGCAGAAGTTAATTGCCATGGGGTTCACGATCGAGGAATTGCCTAAATTGTACTCTCCAGATGTAAAGTTTTGGTAGTTGTTGAGACAGATGAAGAGTAGATATTTTAAAAACTATCCAATTGTCAACAGTTGGCATTTGTGGTTGTATATATAGCATGAACTTTTTAAAAATGTAACATGTCTTCGACACTTCCACCTAGGAGGCCTTTCAAGTCCAAATTATCATATGGTGTTTGTTACATCTCTGCAGATCTTGACGATATCCACCGCGTCCATTAGAGGAGAGTGTATGTATGATATCAACCATTTAAAACAACCACTGTAACATTCCTTGCGCGATTATCCTACTAAACACAACTACATTCTCCAAACAACAAAGTCTTCTTATTTTTCGCTCACCAATATCTTGAATGTGTTCATCTACTATTAAACTGTAACCCTCACTGCAAGATTCGACAGAGTAGTTCTTGTATGTGATCATCTAAAGCACTTGTATTCTCAACTGTATCTTTGTCGTGAAATACAGGGGAGAGATTACATTTTAAAAATTCTTGTGCTGTCTATTGCTATTTTATTCTGTGTTCTATTGCCCACTATGAAGAGATATGCCAGTTATGGAAGTCAACACTCCGTTCCTTGGACTTTGGATATTTTTTATATGCCTTTTTATATCCTCTGCACATGAAGGGGCCGCATACAAGAACTACTCAGGCGAATCTTGCAGTGATGGGTACAGTTTAATAGTAGATGAACACATTCAAGATATTGGTGAGCGAAAAATAAGAAGACTTTGTTGTTTGGAGAATGTAGTTGTGTTTAGTAGGATAATCGCGCAAGGAATGTTACAGTGGTTGTTTTAAATGGTTGATATCATACATACACTCTCCTCTAATGGACGCGGTGGATATCGTCAAGATCTGCAGAGATGTAACTGAAAATTTTTACGCTAGTCACGCACAATCGAATTGATAAGACAAGAGAGGGATCTTTGTTAACAGCCCAGACACCTCCATTTATGTCGGTGTCTGGTCATATGACTAAATTACTGTCTCTAGCCTAATTACATTAGCTGACACCCCCGAGACAGGCAAATATGCGACAATCCCCTCCCATGGGAAAGGCTGAAAGCCGTCTGCTTAAAAACGCATATATGCTCTGCTCGTTTGTGTCTAAGAATCACTTGGACTCTGTGCATTATTTTACTGTTCTGCCAGGAAAAAATCTGAATAAAAACCTTGCAGACAGGTTGAGGATCAACAATCCTCACATGACATTAATTGTTCACTCAAGGCAAAAAATCGTTTAAAAATCCTTGCGAGGGGAAAACCCAAGAGGGAAAACCTCGAACGTGATTGTAGGGGAAGCGGAAAAACCCCTACTGCATTATTCATCGGATGCACTGATGATGCATGCTAATGACGATCAGGCACACGCCCGCGAATCGTCCTAAGCTCAATACTCATCTTCTCGCCATTAGCATTATTTCTTCGCAGTCGTTTAGACCTGCGTCGATCGACCAATTGATCTTCTTCTTCGTCGGGGTTTGCACGCTTGCATGTACCCTTATTAAGAGCATCACCATTGGATATGTTCTTTGATGTTTTAGTAGCACCTTTACGTTGCGATGGATTGAGCTCCTGCTCTTGACCCTTAGTCCCGAGAGTCGCGGCCGTTTGACGAGGCTGCGTTAGAGATTGCGATCCTGGTAGGTTTTTAGTCTTCCAGTAGTCTGTGATACACTTTCTCTCAATAAAATTCTCTTGAGGCTCCCAGGTTTCCTCTTTGTACCCTTTCCATTTTACGCGGTATTCCATCCCCCCCCTAGGTCCATGCCTGTGGTTGAGAACTTTTTCTACTACGTATGTGTCAGTTGCTTCAAAATCGTCGAGCACAAGCTTTAGCTGCGACGGCGCAAATTTACGACCTAACTCTTCTCCTGTGGCATCCTTCAACACATAGGATCCACCAGTTGTTCGTCTGACTACAATATAAGGGCCTTCATACCTAGGCGAAAGCTTGTCGCCCAAGATCGGGTCCAAAGACATAACCTTTGCTCCATCAGGGAATTCACTGTGCAGTACTGTTCTATTGAAACGCTCAATCATTCGACGTTGAGTTTCGCGGGTCTTAGTGTCAATCGCTGGAAAGACGGTCTTGGTCATGTACTCAAGCCGCTTTAAGAGCTCCTCCTGGGATGATAACTTCTCTGTCGTGTCCGAGAAATTGCTAATACCATTATAACGCCGCGCAAAAAACAAAGAGAATGGGGACGAATTGTGTAGAGCCACAATTCTGGTGTTCATAGCTAGCTGTGCCATAGGAACATGTTTCGCCCATGCTTGTTTATGGTCTTGAACCTCTTTGCGAATGATAGTGCATGCTGTTTTCACATGATTTTCGGCGACTCCGTTTCCGCGAGGGTGATAAGGGGTGAGTAACCTATGTTGCACTCCCATAGTGGTAGTCATCACTTGCACCGCCTCGTTAACGAATTCTCTGCCATTGTCAGATTGGAGGATACGTGGAAAACCAATAGTGGTGAAGATTTTGAACAAAACTTTTGCAATGGTCATCCCCTTCTTGTCAGGTATGGGTTCCAAGAAGACGAACCTTGTACAAACATCAACCAAAATGAGTAGGAATAGGTTTCCATCGCTCTCCACAGGGAATGGACCGGTCAAATCAACCGCCATATGTTCACCTGGTAACTGAGCATGAATGGCCGTCAGAGGGTGGTATCCCTTGCGTGCGATGTTGACTCGCTGGCATTCTTGGCAACGCTGAACATACTCCAAGCAATCCTTGGCCAGATTAGGCCACGTCTTTTGCAACGAATGAATATGCTTGACCATGGCATTGGTCCCAATGTGACCAAGCGCATGTGCGTCGACTAACACTCCTCTTCTCTCTGAGACAGCTACCGTCACACGTTGAGTGTCGGCGTCCTGGATTAAGTGAACATAACCATAAATTTTGCTCGGAGCAGATCCTTGAATGCGGGCTGTCCACAACTCTTGAGGAAACTGGCGAGACAAAGCGTCTGGTAAAACGTTCAGAACGCCAGGTCGATAAACAACCTTAAACGTGTAATCCAAAATAGTCTCCTGCCATGCGGTAAGCATCGAGTTCATATCCTTCTGCGTATGCATAAAAGTAAGAGCGCGATGATCCGTGAAAAGCGTAAAGTGACGGCCCCACAAATAGTAATGCAACTTCTTCAGTGCAAACACAATTGCCAATAACTCCTTCTGAGTTGTACTATAGCGTCGTTCACTGGGTTGCAATGAGCGCGCAACAAAAGAAATATATCTAATGTTTTTGGGATTCGCCTCGCCTTCCGGCAGCTGATATAAAATTGCTCCAATTCCAACGTTAGATGCATCTGTAGCAACATATAACGGCAAATTGAAATCCACCCAGCAAATTATGGGCGATAAGACCAACAAATTCTTTAGTGCCTCAAAGCTCTTCAACTGAGCAGCATTCAACGTAAATGGACCCACCACATTACGCATAGCATCTAGCGGAGCGCTAATGGTAGCTATAATGGGTACGTGATCGCGGAAAAAATTAAAAGTCCCCATATAAGATTGAACCTGCTTACCCGTAGTTGGGGGTTTCCAATCATTGATATTCACCAATTTATTGGGATCAATTCTTTTTCCATCAAGATCCACAATGAAGCCCAGCAACGCCACCTGCGTACTGTAGAACTTGCACTTGTCAAGGTTAATAATAAGCTTGGCATCAGTTAGCCGTTTAACCAACTCTATCATCTGAATCGCATGATCGCTTCTGTTCTTTGATGCGAGAAGAATGTCATCGATAAAATTTCTGACAAATTTCAAATCCCCAAGGATTCGGCTCATGCCACGCTGAAACAAACTGGACAAGGGCTTCAATCCAAAAGGAGCCTTCTTGAACATATATTGAATCCCGTTATGCATAAATGCCGTCAACGGCTGATCTTCTTCATGGATTGGTAATCGATGATACGCCTGCTTTAGGTCCACAGTCGAGAACACTGCATTGCCTCCAGCAAATTGCATGATGTCTGATATAAGTGGTACCGGAAAATTATCATCGGGTAGGTGCGCGTTTAAGGGCCGCGGATCCAAGCACACTCGGTAGAGAGTCTTGTTTCCGTTAGCATCTTTCTTAGCCGCTAGCGTTAATGTGTTGTTGTGTGCATTACCTGCAGGTGCTAATGTAATTACATCATCCTTCAGCCAATTCTGGATTGCTTCATCAAGAACCGGCATTTGCGATGCAGCAAATACTTTAGGTCTGCGGTAGAGGATAACGTCATCAGGGACTGGCAAATACACCTTCATTTCAGGTATAGTACAATGACTTGTATTTGGAATCTTGGCGTTTAACCTCAGCGACTCTTCTATACTCTTCATGAACGCGTCCTTTTCCGCAATAAATTCCTGCGTCTTTTCTCGTTCTGGAATCGTGAGAGGTATCAGCGTGGGCTTTTCGTCTTCAACTGGCGCTGGCATCCGTCCAGACGACTCATCTGCATCGGGTAGTCCAACGATATTGAATCCATAGCGGTGAAAGAGATCCATGCCAATGGTAACTGCATGACTCTGTTCAATAACCTCATATGGCGCGCTAAGCACATTCTGTCCACAGACAATCTCTACGTTTTCCGTTTCTCCAACGCGTTTAATGACAGACGAGTCAGCTAATTCAATGTATCCTTCCATTGGTTTAACCGGAATAGAATACTTTTTGACTACAGCTGCACTAATAAATGAATGTGTGGCACCAGTATCAATGAGTGCAAGATGTCGCTCTTGATTAAGATAAACAGGAACAAACAGTCGATTATCCGGCTGATGTTTTCGTTTACTTGAACCATAGTGCTTGTGTACTAACTCAAAGTCCTTCTCTCCAAAGGAGAATAATGGGTAACCATCACATGCGTCTGACACTGGGTTATCACTAATTGAAAATCTTTCGAAGGCCCTTAGGTACTCGTCGTCTACTACATCCTCGATGTTGTACTCGGCCGGTGCATTATCTCTTCCTTCTTTAACAATGCCCATAGCTCCATACTTCACCTTT